CCCCCTTTCTTCTTTCCCCTCTTTGGCAGAGCGGGGAAGCCCAGTTCAGGTTCCTGAACTAACTCCATGAATACTCAGCTCAGGGGAAAGGCAGGTATGCCTCAACCTCACTTTGATCAGTGCAAGCTGCAGTGCTGTTCCAAAGTAATACCGCAGATGAACCACTTTTGGTATGATTCTTACTTTTGGAAGCTCTATGCAGGCATATCTCCTTTATGTATTTCAGCATTTACTGTCAACAGGTAGAATACACAGTTTGGATTCTTAAAACGATATGCCTTCTCTTTAGGATTGAAGGCCCTTGAAAGCTTAAAAAACAGAAATAAGGAAGTGGTTTAGATTGTAAACAAAATTTTATTGGGCTTTGAAACATCACTTCATTTCTGGATACTGATGATATAAATCAAGAAGTTGCGCTGTTGCATTAATACAAGTTGTAATTTGTTTTGTGTTCAAGTCTTGAAACATCTTGATTTGCTTTACACATTACAGTGCTATTTTATTTCTGTTCTGTTTACAGCTGATATTATTTCAACAGTTGAATTTAATTACTCTGGTGATCTTCTTGCAACAGGAGACAAAGGTGGCAGAGTGGTTATATTTCAAAGGGAACAAGAGGTCAGTGACTTGAAAAACAAAAGTGCTGTTACTACGCTGTTCTTGTGTTGCACAGTCTCACTTCATCTTTTCAGGCCATGGGGTTTAAACGACTGGACAGTTTTCTCAGAAAGCCCTAAGTTAGCCAAATTTCTAAATATCTGCCTTGTGCTGAACTTGGTAGGTTAGTTTGGTGGTGGTTCCGCTCCCCCCGCCTTAAAAAAAAAAAAGTCCCAAAAATACAATTGAGTTCTTTATATATGTACCTAGTATGTTCGTATCATTTTGCAGAATTGCCTTTAGACTTTCTCCTGAACTTTACACTTGGTCAGGTTGATTTAAGACAACTTGTAAGATTGAAGATACTGTAAGAAAAGTTTATTAAAAAGGATACATGTTAAGCTGCAAGGACAACAGGATAAGACGGTTCAAAAATGGAAGAATTAAGCATCTGATGTGTTTTAGGATCCTATGAATCAAAAGCAGTGGGAACAGCTACTTCTCCGGAAACATTTGAGCGTTTTCAGTTCAGAGGGTAGGAATACTCTCCCTCCTACAATTACACAGCTTTTCAGCTGGCTCTTTGCAATGGTATTCAGTTGTGTGATAATGCTATAACGTGTTCTGTCCATTCATCAATGCAGATACATCACTGAGCTTTTTATATCCAGAGAAATAGCGTGTATTGGAAAAGTGCACTAAATGCTGAAAAATAATTGTCATGCTTTGTCATGTCTGGGAGAAATCTGGAATTGTGTTCTTTAAAAAGTCAATATTCCACATGGCATTCTCACCCTCTCCCCCGCCACCAAAGAGCATGTTTATGCTTTCCTTTGAAGAGCTGGTGAGAATTTGGGCCTTTGGTTTTGAGCCTTCTCCTGGATCAGAAATACCAAAATTGATTGTGGAATTTTAATTCAGCTTGTTTGTGCATGAAGTATACTAGTCTTCAGGTGGTTTTTTTCAGCAGAATCCCACTTATTTTGTTGTGTTGTTCAAATGATGCTCAGTCAACAAATAGCTGTCCAATATTTTGCATTTCATCCTCACTGTGATACTATTTATAAAACATTTTACTGAAGGTGACCTATTGGTTTTACTGTGAGGATTTTTAGAGGTAGTGAAATGAAAATACTATTGCTGAAAAAGCTGCTGAAATGTTACACTACTACACCTAGACAGCTCATGGCTCATTTATCATTTAGTCTGCTGCATAGACTTAACTAAGGCACAGAGAGATCAAGGTCAAAAGTGTCCACCTGCTCTGACTTTCTTGATGCTGGTTCAGAGTGGAACTATTATTGGTTGGCTTTCAGCTGTTAGTGCTCAGTTGTTCTGAAAGTCAAAACCCAGCTGTCACATCATTTCCTCACAGTGTAAAAAAAAAAAAAAAAGTCAGATTATTCACACAGGAATATTCAACTGTCTTCTTGAGAGCACATGCAAACTGTAGGGAAGAGTTGGGCATAAGAGTCATTTTTTTTGTCATGTGCAAAACTGCAGGATATCTGGAGTGGAAGAAAAAACCTAAAATAAGTATCTAATACTGGAATCTTAATAAAATCTTACAACCAATATTTTTAAACAGTGTGGATTTTAGGCTAGGTTAACTAGGTTAATAACAACTTAGGATAGTTATAAAATTTCCCATACACTTTAATTTGGGAAGGCAGGCTGAAATGTTGTGCATTGTGCCCTGAAGTCAAATGACATTATTGCAGTTCCAAGCAGCTGATTATTCCAACCAAATGTGTGAGTAAACAGTGAGACCACTGCCTAGTGCCAGACAAGGCAGCTTGCTCAAAGTGCGAGTGGCTAGGTAAGTAATACAGGTAACTATACTGAATAGTGTTAGTTAGAGGATCCTGTCCAAAATGCTTAAAAGCTAAATGACAAGCAGGGAGTAAAATAAGGTAAAGTCTCAGAATTAACTAAAACACCATACTTGTGAGAGATTGCAGGAAAAATAACCTTATCAATGTTGCCAAGTCAAGCGTGGAAACGTAAGGAAGCTTCAGAACAAAGGTTGCCTTTGCAGCCTTACATTGGCCTAGCAGTCTTCAGTGATGTGAGTCACTACTGGTTGTTCCATGGTAACGTGCCATCAATCAGTGTCCAGGGCAGACTTTTCCTGCACTGATTCTTGCCTGCCTTTGCAAGTAAGCGATTATTTCCCATTGTGTTTTGGGGAGTTTGTTTTTTCAGAGGTTCTGGGCACTGCAAGCTCTACAAGTGGGGCTATTCTCCAGACGTGAATCACTATCTAACATTAACTTATTTGAAAAGCCTGATAACTAGTTGCCTCAAATCTGATACTGCAAATCTGTGGATACTTGTGACTTTGATCTCTGTTCCTTGCTACCGCATCTACTAAATGAGGATAATACAAAGGGGTCTTCTACTTCTGTGAGAGGAAAAGTTGTTAGTGTATTTGTAATAGCCTTTGGTACTTGGTGAGCACTATAGAACAGCTTAGATGAAAATGTGGTAATTCCAGCCTTCAAGTTTTTGTAATAAAAAAGGTTGTCAAAGCTTAATTATAAGCCTTGATACCACTTCTGGACACATCGTGTTTTAAAATGAGTAGGAAAGAAGCTAGATCTAATGTTCATACTTGATCTTACTGTCCCTTCAGCAGAATGACTTTTTGCAGTTGTGTTTTTATAAAAAACATGTTTAGTTACTCCATGCCCTATGTCCTTTAACATTTATTTCCTAGTCCGGAAACCCTGCATTATGACCATATTGTGATGATGAGAGGAATGAGTTTTGGAAAAGGAGGGGAACGGAGATCAGGTGAAGTGCAGAAACTAATCACATGGAGTTGGTGGTTTAGGATTTAGGACGTGGCTAACTTCTCTGCTCCAATTCTGTTGAAACCACTTGGGAGAGGTAGCGTAGCCTAGAACTCCTCAAGCAAACACAGAACTCCTTTGCGGACAGCATGCCTCTTTGAAGTGCTTTGATACGTTATGTTCTATGAGTACACACATATTTATATATAACGATACTTTTTTTTTTAAAAGGAAGTCTGTGCACTATATTGATGCTAAACTAGATACAGTATCATAGAGTAAAAATGTAAAATTCATCAAGATCTGTTGTAGCAAGTTTACTTTCTAATTGACAATTTCTTGTTTGTATGTACAATTCCTAATGAACCGAGAAACATCCGCTTCAAGAAATATTATGTTTCCTTGCAGAATAAAAGCCGTCCTCATTCTAGGGGAGAATATAATGTTTACAGTACCTTTCAGAGTCATGAACCTGAGTTTGACTACTTGAAAAGTCTAGAAATTGAGGAAAAAATTAATAAAATTAGGTGGTTACCACAACAGAATGCTGCTCATTTCCTGCTGTCTACAAATGGTAAGGACACTTTATTTTTGCACAAAGAACTTTTTTATGTCATTTGAATATTATCTCACCTGTGATCCACTTGTGGGGTTTTTTATGGAGTGTTTTGGGGTTGTTTTAATGTCGTCTTTAATTATATGCAAAATATGTTTTGATTGTAATACTCTGTAAATTACTGATTTATGAATGTAAAAGTAATGAAGCAGCAACAGAACAGGCATAGTTACAGAGCTATGTTCTGTGGATATACTGACCATGCTGTCAATTTACATACCCTGTTACTCTGCTTTATAGGTTTTGTATAAAAGGATTCCCAGTATGCTAAACTGTAGCAGAAATCTGAATTTGACTTGATCATCCTAATTTTGAAATTGATTTTTTTATGATCCCAGATGAATTTTTAATAAAAGCATTTGAAATTGCAACACTGTGGTTACAATGCTCTTTTTGCTTTTCCAATACCAAAACATCATGCTTTGAAAAGCAACTGTTTAAAAGACAACAGTCACTCTAGGAGTAGTATATTTATACCATTTTCACTGTGTACCTTAGGAGACATAAAAGCAGTGCAAAAATTACAAGTTGGAAATGACAAGTTTTCATGCACTTTGGGTTTTTTTTTATTTCTTCCAATATTTTAGTAGTGGTTATTAGGTCTGTATGAGTGTTAGGTCTGTTTATTTTGATGCGTCATGGAGCAAGCTGTAAATGTAAATGCAGAACTGTGTATGAAAAAACTTGCTCTTATTGCCAGAGGAATATGCTTGTTCCTAACAGTTTGGATCACTTTCTGCCTTGTACTTAAATGATTTTATGTAATGGCTGATATCCTACCTGCTATATGAAATTTTAAAAGTGGGAATGACTTCTGTCTACTGGACTTTGAGATTCAAATAATCTTATTTTGATGTAAGTCTTACTAAATTTAAAGCAGTCTTTAAACTGTGTCATCTTAAATGCTTTAAAGATATGCAGTAATTTGGGGAGGAGAGGTTTGTTTCCAATTAGCTAAGGATCTCACTCTTGGTGTATACTTACTTTCTGCACTTGGAAAGACTTTCCCAAGTAAGACCTGGGAAGTACATGCCCTTGGACATGGAACCCTGAAATAATGGGGCAAATCCTGTTGTCGTTCACTGCCTTTGGTTGTCTCTTAGCAGACACCTGCAACAAACTTGGTTTTTAAGGTAGGTAGTGTAATTCATGGGCCTGTTGGGATTTTTTCCCTAGCATTTATCTGTTAAAAATAATTTTGGTAGTCATACAGGGCTTATTGGTGAATTTTGGTAATTGGTGTGTGAAACTTCCCTTGTGAAGAGTCATTTTGGTGAATGGTAGGCATAGGGCCGTACTGTTTAGGCAGAAACTTGTATTTTATTCAGACTGAACGCTATATTGGACTTAAAATGGAATCCATCTTTTTTTCGTCTCCATTTACTGGTATTTTCATGCATTTCCCATCCGCATCCTCCAAGTGCATCTGTCTGGTATATTTTTTTGTTTGTTTTTCATGTATCAATTCTGCTAAACAACACAGCTGAAGGCAAAGTACTTCAAGTATATGTAGGGAACGCTGTACTCTGAATTACATTGTTGTTTAAAGGACTCCAGCAGGGTCCTTTCTGTTGCAAGCAGTGGAAACCTAGAGAGATAAATAATATCCACTCTGCTGACTCCATTATTTAGTGATTTTATTTTGAATTTAATTCATTCTCAAGCATGTGAATTTTTGTTGGTTTTAGATAAAACTATTAAATTATGGAAAATAAGTGAAAGGGATAAAAGAGCCGAAGGTTATAATTTAAAAGATGAAGATGGAAGACTTAGGGATCCTTTCAGAATCACAGCACTACGGGTATGTTTCTGCTCTTTGACTTTAAATATGTTTTTGCATGTACTTCTCTACCTTTGTATCACCAAAGTTGTCAACTGAAATGTTTAGATTAAAAGTGATGCTTTGGTCAGGGTCATTGAAACTTTAATGAAAAATGGAGACAATTCATTATACGCATATAACTGTTAAATAAGGTTCCTCTGGAAAACTTGAGGCAAAATTTCATTATTTTAATACTATATTATTAGCTTCCCAATAGTTTGTTGGGTTTTTTCCTTGGAACATCTTAGAATATTTGAAATGGATTTTAAATTTAAACTGTTTTTTAAAATTAAAACAAAATATTTTGTTAGAGACAGCCTTCATCCACCTCAGTATATTCAAATTGTAGAAGCTATACTGATTTATTGACAGCAATGAAGTATAACAAAATGTTGTTATTCAAGCCTGAAAAAACAGCATTTTGGAGTATTTCTGTCTAGGGCTGCACTACTCTGTACCCAGTTCATAGAAAGCATGGACTCATCCTGCTGTGTTCTTAAAATAGTCTAATGTCTTAGTGCAACATGAAGGAAAGTGCAGGGAATGCATTTATTTTAAAGGGCTGTAACATTTTGACTTCTCTTCCTGGCCATGACTAGTCAGTAGAGGATAGTGCCGTGGTGTCGGTGCCACTCACTAGTAAGGAGTAGTAGGTACCCAGGTCAACCTTTATATCTTCCCGGAGTGCTGCTCTGTGAAATGGGCAGGTGGGGTCCTTCTGTTTGGCTTAAAGCATATGCCATTGTGAATTTAGGAAGAACTCAGCTTTGACTGTGTTGATAATTATTTTTTTTTTCTTCAATATTGCTCATGTTGAACTTGTTCGGTCTTTTTTCTAAGAGTAAGACTCAAAAATTTAAACAGGGTGCTGGGTATTCTATGGTTAGGTAGCAGGTTTTTTTGTTAGAGGCAAGTTCTGAGCATTTGGAAAACCTAACGTATACTTGAATAGTCTTGACATTTTTCCACTTGCATAGTGATGTAGTGGTAAGGTTAGTGCTCCAAACTTGGGGTCATTTAAAGCAGGAGCTCAGGAAATGAAATCATGTGGGGTTGGGGTTTTTCTTGTTGTTTTTTTTTTATGTTGTTGTTACCGTAAACAGGAGTTGAACTGAAGCTCTTGCTACTTTCAAAGCCAGTGCCACTCTGACACTTGTAGGGACTATACAGTTGTGGGGTTTTGTTGGGTTTTTTTGCCTTGCTTTTACTTAAATTGAATATTGAACTGAAGCTTTAGATATGTGTGAGCCTAATGCATAATCATGTTGGGAAAGGATATCTGCTTCCTCTGGAAAGTGTCTTTCTACTCAGCATGTGGGAGCCAAGATCTGATTGAGTATTCTAATGAAAATATCTAAAAACAAGGAAATAAATTATGATACAATGCCTTAGCCCAGTGGCTGGAAGTAGGTACGGGTGAAATTTAGGCCAGAATATGGCCTAATGGTTTTAGGCCTAATGGTACTGGCTATATCACTGAAGGAGTACATTAGCATCTACTTTAAACACTGTAATATATTTAGGAATCATCAAGCTGAATGGGGGGAAGCATCAGAAAGCAAGAACCTCTCTCTTAAAAGTTAGTCTTCTAAATTTGCTGCTTTTCTGGGAAAGGAAGGTTGGGCTGAGCTGCAGACCTTGCCAGGCACTACATCTTACAAGAAGAGATGATGGAATGAACCAAGTCTGTGCAACAGTTGGTAGAAGGGGAAAAAACCTTGCCTAGAGTTACCTCCATAAGTTAAAATGATCAGGTTTTAGAGATCTAAGAGTATATGTACCTTGGGCTTTTATGGGCTTTGTTTGCATATTTTGTTACAGAAATGTAATTCCCATTTGTCTGTAAAGAAGTAGACATGGAGAAGAAGCAGCACTCCAGAGCTGCATCCTTTGCATAGAGACCGTGGCATTTCTAAGTACCGTTCCTGATAATTCACATTAATGCATTTTCGATTTCACAGCCAGGCTAGGAACGCTCATGTGGTGAGATAGGAAAATTGCCTAATAAAAATTAATGGATTAATTTTAATCATTACAGTTTGATGTAAACAGACTGTGAGATACAAACATGGTGAAAGCAATTACAGAGCTCTTGGACTAATTTGTTTCTTGTTCCAGGAAGACAGATTATCTTGGACACTGTCATAACTTTTTTCTTGGTTGGATGATGTAAGTTAGTGTTCTGTTGAATTGTATGTACTGGAACAGCGTAGGATGTCCTTGGGCAAACTTAAACTATTCACTTGCTGGTCAGCAAGCAGGAGCTAGAGGGAAGCTTTATCCACTTGACCCTGACAAACCATGTCACCCTTTAGATCAGCTGGTTGTGGAAGTAGGGCATCCATGTGTTCCTAAAATCATACTGACTGTTAAGTGAACAAATTGGGGGTTTTCTTTGCAAACTGTTCTTACCAATTTCACAAGCACCCCTCTAAGATATGGGGATTATTTTTAAGCTCGTGTTTCAAATTAACATAATCTTCTAATATCATTATAAACATACACTATTTTCCTGTTGGATGTGACAGGTAACTTCAGATAACAGATAACTTCAGATAACAGATAACTTCAGGTAACAGATGTGACAGCTGCTGTATGTGACAGGTAACTTCTGCAGAAGTCAGTGTCTGAGTTTTGTGTTGGTAGTATTGCAAAGCTGGCATTCATAGGTTATTTTATTACTTTTCTTGCTCAGTGGATTTGAAAAGTGTTTAGTCACTAAATCAAAACAGAAATCTGTGGTGTGCAACTAATTAATATCTTCTGAATCAGAAAACAGTTTTATGCCAAAATTGACTGTTCTTTTTCATGTTTCAGGTGCCAATATTGAAACCCATGGACCTAATGGTAGAAGCAAGTCCCAGAAGGATATTTGCAAATGCACATACTTATCACATAAACTCTATTTCAGTAAATAGTGATCATGAAACATACCTTTCTGCAGATGACCTAAGAATTAACCTATGGCATTTAGAAATCACAGATAGAAGTTTTAGTATCCTTTTTTTGTTCTTTGTGAACACTGGGGCACGTCTAAATTGTGTATGTTTAAGAGACTCTCTTTAATTTTACTAATTAGAGTAGGTGTTTGAATCTAGGGGTTAAAATACAGGGTTTTAAAATCTGGAGCATTTAATACAGTGAAAGCAGGCCTTAGGATGCTCTCATTCATTCTTGAGTGCAAGCATTCTTTCAGTGGAAAATTGCCAGTAGAAATATCATTCATAGTTTGATTTCTAAAGAGAAATTGAGGAATTTTGGGAGCAGCCTTTATTTATGGAGTTCAGTCAATTTAAATAAGAGTTGAAAGATTTGAAAAGTAGATCCTTTGTTACTGTAGATACTTCTTTCCAAAGTTTAAGGTCTCTTAACTAAATGACACTTCTCTTAAAGAAAACAAATTTCAATTTTTCTCCATGTCAAATCATATCATTAACTGCAGAAATAATTTTCAAATCTTTTTGAAAACCTGTGTGTCCAAAACTAATAGTATGTCCTACATTGACAAATCTGCAGTAAAATAAAAGAAATACTAAATATTAAATAGGTCATACGCAAGATTTCTGAAGCTTTAGGTAAATAGATTAAGTATATTCGGTGTCCAATAGGAAGCATTAAGAAGGAGGCTTGAGAGGAGTCTGAAATTATCACCACAGCCTCTGTTAAACTTGATTTGTAAAATTTGTTGGTGGGGTTTTTTTGGTTGGTTGGTTGGTTTTTTTAATCTACTCAGGTCACTTTACTTTGTGTAGATTGCACACAGTGGAAATTAAGATCTCGCCCTGGTTTTCTACATTGTATTTTTAACATTTTTTAATAATGATCTGCTAGAAGTGATTTGAATGTGAAATGTTATATGTCTTTACAAAAACCTTCCCAGATATTGTAGATATTAAGCCTGCTAACATGGAGGAGCTGACAGAAGTGATTACTGCTGCAGAGTTCCACCCTCATCACTGTAACGTGTTTGTCTACAGTAGTAGCAAAGGAACTATTCGACTTTGTGACATGCGTTCTTCAGCCCTCTGTGATAGGCATTCAAAATGTAAGTTAGGATGCATCTTTGATTTATGTGTTTCTTGCTTTGTTTTCATGCAAGATAGAGTGTATAGGTGTTCTGCTTATAAATAAACATACCAAATTCTGCTTATTGGTAAAGAGCATACAAGGTAAGGGGTGGTAGTTTTGTAGAATGGAACATTTTAATTGTCTTGTTCTAGGCCATCAACAAGCAGAAGTGTAGCATGAGACAATTGACGATCTGACTCTGCTCCTGTTTACCCATTTATGCATCATAAACTGATGGGAACAAGTGCTTTTGGCACCAGTGAGACCTGTCTTCTGTCCAGACTCAGTCTTGGTGCTTCTCAAAGGTATCTGCTTATCAAATGCCAGTTCAGGGCAGTTTTTTCACCTTTGTGCATTAGAAACTGGGCTGATGCTGCCAGAATCCGTTTACTTTGTGACCATTTGCAGCTCCTAGGATAGAATTAATTCTTAAGAATATGCGCCGCATTTGAAGCGAGTTTCCAGGGGTGAAAGGTGAATGCTCTTTAGCCTGCTCAGCCACATAAACTTATGTAAGTGAGGAAAGCTTTTCTATTGAAGTCACAAGGATAACTGCCTATGCCTTGCACGCAGCCTCTTGTTTCTTGTTCGCTACTGTAATAGTTGTGGTTTATTAGTATTACTAGTCCTGTGGGGTGACCTACCATACTGATATTTGCAGGTAAGCTTTCTATAGTGCAGATAAGGTTTTCTTGTTGGTGGAAGGAAATATTTGTGCAATGGGAAATGTAGAATGCTAGGCCACTTCATCTATTTGACTCAGTGTTGCATTAAATTACTTAGAAGCACTTTATTTTTTAAAACTGCTTGTCACTGAATAACATCCTGTTAAAAGGGGTCTATTCAAAAATGAAATAAGTAGTTCTGGGTAGCTTGTGTCATGAAACATTGACTTCAAAGGTTGACTCTTCAATTTAAATAATGTATTTCTTTATCTGCTTTGTAAAACCGTACAAATTGCATTTCAAGTGTAGATACTAATATTTCATTTCAGTAGGTTGTGTTGTACAACTTTTGTTCAGATCTAAAGAAAAGTACGTTGTACAGTAGTCTCAAAATGCATGGATCGTGCATTAAGATACTGTGTTTGGGATGCTGGTGTTCTCATCTGCTCTTGTTCGACATGATTTGTAGGTCAGTTGTAATGTTTGCTGTACCCATGTGCTGTTTTTCAACTTTTTTCTCTGATTCATCCTTAAGACCTCTGAATTGTAATTTGCTGATGCTGTGCTCCAGTTGAAAATGTTGGAGATAGGCATCTAGCAATCTCATGACTAAGAGCATAGCATTGTTTAAAAAAAAAAAATATTTTTTAAAAGTATTTAACAGCAACTTTCTTTAAAAAGAAACTAGTATATTGATTTAAAGTTTTCCAAGTACCAAAAAATGTTCGAAGCTGTGAAACTTGGTGTTGATTTCATTTGTAATTGTGTCTTCTATTTACAGTTTTTGAAGAACCTGAAGATCCTAGCAGCAGATCGTTTTTTTCAGAAATAATATCATCGATATCTGATGTAAAATTCAGTCACAGTGGTCGATACATGATGACAAGAGACTACCTTTCTGTTAAAGTGTGGGATCTCAATATGGAAAACAGGCCTGTAGAGACATATCAAGTATGGTGTTCAAGTTTTCTTAAATATCCCTTCCTTTCCCTTTTCTTTTTCTTTATATCTAATACCAATTTAAATGTTCCAAAAAGGTTCATGAGTATCTTCGAAGCAAGCTTTGTTCCCTTTACGAAAATGACTGCATCTTCGACAAATTTGAATGCTGCTGGAACGGTTCTGATAGGTAAGTTTGGGGGGGTTGTTTTGGTTTGGTTTTTTTGTTTTTCCCTCAGCATTAGGAATTTGGTTTCCAGTCTTGAAACCCATTAGCGGTACTTCACTTTAAGGATGTAATTAGTTACATTCAAATCAACTGTGGTTTTTGGTTTTGTTTTTGTTTTTTTGCAAAAAGAGTTCATTTTTCAATCCTCCACCCTCCAGTTGCAAAGTGGAATAAACTTTTGTGTGTCAGTTTGCTTCTAATGTGAATTATTGTTGGAGTTTTATATAGTCAAGACTGGCCATTTCAAGCCATGAAAATGTGACTCAGTTTCGTTCTTAAAGTGTATACAAGAACATGCATTCAGTGTCTTGCAAATTCAGTCTTCTTTCCGTGTTTTCTGTAGGCTAAAGAAGATAAAACTGTGTTAGATAATTACTCGTATTTGTTGCAAACAGTGGAAATGCCTTGTCTTGCCTGCAAGTTTTGGAAGCATTATAATCAGATAGCAAAGCCACTATACTGGCACACGTGGTGTATGTTTCCTGTCACTAGCTATGGTAATATTAGCTACCTGTTAAAATGCTTTCAGAACCCATGGATAAGATCGTGGCAGATCTGGATCTTATATCTGGATTCTTTGTGTTGGCTTGCCTCGGGGATTCTTCTCTTTTTTTTTTTTTGTAGGAGTTTTATGAGTATATCTGAAATACCTAGAACAGTGACTTGTCTGCTACTAAATGCTTGCAAGCTGTTCAATGAAAAGGTATCAGTTTTGATTTGGCAGTAACAGGATCAGCCTGTGAAACAAGCTTTGGCCTAAACATTATCAAATATTTGAAGAACAAAAGATCCACCATATAGTTTAGATGGGGACAGTGATCAGGGAAGTCAAATCTCATAAGCTGCGCACAGGAGTCAGCAAAGAAAGTGAAACCTACCTACATTGTTATTGCAGTGATAGTTGAGATTGCAGGTACTGCTACATGCCACTTACACACTAATTTCTTAAGTAAATAATATTAAAGAAAACTGGTTACTCTGAATACCAGGTTGCAAGTGGCTGAGGTTGCAAGTGGCTTTGAATTACTGAGGGCAGAAATATGCTGTATCAGTCAGTTTATTAAAAAAAAGAATTGCTAGCAGTATTTACAATATCTAATGTAAAATTCATGAAGTGGTGTATGTTTTTCACTAAGCTAAAATGCAAGAAAGCTGACCCTTATTTCTATGTTTTTTTCAAGCAACTCCAGTCAATCTTTTTTGGAGGGGTAAAAAAAAAAAATTCAAAGCAAGATCATCTCATTTTAACATAAGAACATAAGTTGTCATAGAAGTTGTGACACTCACCTCCCTTTGAAAAAGAAAAACAATATTTCACTCAGTGCATTCCCTAGTACAATCTGAGTGGTATATGTTGTGGTAATAGTATCTCATTCTCATCCTAGTCATTGATTTTTTAATGCCATAAAGACAATGTGTGTCAGCATATAAGATGACAAGGGTGAGGTGGTTGCGATTTTGACAATCTGTGGGACTTCTGCCATGTGGGAAATGGCTTTTCCAGTTTCAAGTGGTAGAGATAAGTGTTCAATACAGAAAATAATTAACAACTCGGCCTCAATTTCAAGCATATTTTTTGTGAGAGCTACAAACAAGCTGTCCATTAGATATATGAAAGCATTTTCAGATGCAGATTTTTTTCTGCCTCGTTCAGAAGCAAATTTGATACAAATTTGTACAGAAACTCTGAATTGTTTCTGCAGGGCTGCATTACACATTCACATAAGGGGTTTCTTTTACTGCTTCAAGACAATTTTTCATAATTAATCCACTGGCATGCTCATTGTTAACATGTGCACAGTGACAAGGAAGACGTTTTCATTTGTGATAGTCTGCTGAAATTAAGCAGTTTACAACGGCTTTGCTTCTGCCGTAACTTTTGTTGCAACGGGATAAAGGGTAGAGTAGCAATGGGAAAACCCGCTTTGCTGACATTAAGATGAATAAAGCATTAGACTGCTGCTGAGTGCCGGCGGCAGGAGGGGGACCAGGGGAAGACCTGGAAGAGAAAGTGGTGGAGTGGAAGCTGAAGTCCAAAACCAGAGTTGAGCAAAGGTATACGTCAGAGAGGAAAGGAGTGTAATGCCACATACTGGTCATGAACTTGGTCTAACAGTCACTTTGTGTGTAAGGGAGAGAAGATGGGGGTTGAATACTATTTCTGGAAATCATTAATAAGATTTGCCTTTCTTCTGTTTTTAAACAGTGCTATCATGACTGGATCTTACAACAATTTCTTTAGAATGTTTGACCGAAACACGCGACGGGATATCACTCTAGAAGCATCCAGGGAGAGCAGCAAACCTCGTGCCATCTTAAAGCCACGTAAAGTGTGTACAGGTGGTAAAAGAAAGAAGGATGAAATAAGCGTTGACAGTCTGGACTTCAACAAGAAGATTCTTCATACAGCATGGCATCCCATGGAGAACATCATTGCTGTAGCTGCCACCAATAATTTGTATATATTCCAGGACAAAATTAACTAAAAATGACTTACTTGAGGACAGAGTCGTCGTCTTGCATAGTTAAGCTCAGTTGTTTATCTGTAAAAGAGAAGGCCTTCTTGTCCTACCAGTGAAGAACATTGATGCACTTACTTCCCTTTAGATAAAGGAGAGGATCTGGCCTGGTTTTTGAGTTCATGGTATAGTTCTGCCTTCGGTGGGGGTAGGGAGTGTCAGTCGCAGTTTTCTGGGAGAAACCCTCCAGAGGCAGAATTGATGGACAGTGCTCAATAAGGCCAATACTCAAAACAAATGTATTTATTTAAGTCTGAGCCTTCCTTTCCAGTTTATAGACCAAAAATTTAACACCCAAGAAGAAAAAATTGTCATAAAAATGTAATTTCTATCTCTCGCGCTCTTTCTCTGCTGTAATATTTGGGCCTTTCAAAACATATATTGTGCTTAATGCCTGTAAACATTCCTCCTCTGGCCTGTATCTAGGCTTAGGTGTTTTTACCTTTGAGCACTTAGGTAGGTCTTGAGTTGGGTTCGTAGACAGGTTTCCATGAATATTTACTCACCAACTGTATCTATAACCACACCTTCTGGTGTAAACCACTTAATAAAATAACAAACTATAAAAAGAGTTTTTAAATCTGAAGGTATGTATTCAGTCTTTTTATTTTTTTTTTTATTGCATGTACTGAGATTGTGCAAAATAATTCTGATGGGCAGATTTGACAATGTTTGCCCCAAAACATTGATTTTTGGCAGACTAATACAAACTTTTTTGTGTAGTATTTCAAATTCTAAATTTAGAGTTTCCATGAAATTGTCATTTAGTTTAAGTTGCACTGGTTTTCTTGTAAAATGCTATCTGTGTACCAAGTAGGAGATTGAAAAGGTTAGTATAAAGACATCCACAGCCTTAATAGAAAGTGACTACCTTGCACAGAAGGGAAAACAAAACATTTAACAAAATTTCTTCTTTGAAGATAAAAATTCAGTTTATCTGATGCCTCTCAGTGTTAGATAGAGACATACCTTATGTGCATTATGTTTTTTAACCTTTTTAGTATTTGTCATGAAGATATAGTTTATTTTAAATATTTGGCATAATATATTGTATTTCATATTGCAGTTCAAGCCAGCAAAAAAAAAAAACAACTATCTTGATTATGCCAAGCAGCAACGCAGCTTAATACATTTTAGCACGTTCCGACTTTAACACCAAGATGTCGGAAAACACTGAGGCTACGAGCTGGTGTTAACTGCGGTTGTTGTAACTCTGTTCTTGCTAACTTTTTTTTAAGCCTTAGGTACTTTTTTTTTTTCCTTCTCCCTCCAAAGAGGCCTAAAATGCATCAACCTTCTCTTCACCCTAGACCAGCCTGGGTGAGCAGCTGTTCCTGAAGCTGTTGCAGCACGTTTTAGTAGCATCGAGTAGCTAGACATTACACTCTATGAAATGTGCCTGCAAATTAGAAATTCTTTCTGAAAAACGAGATCCCTTGAGCTTCCCAGATGAAACACAGAAGTGTGGTTTACACTCCATTTTTCTTAAAATGAAGGTGTATTATGATTACTGAATCAGATCTGCATATGCAAGAGCAAAATGTCTCCGTTCTTACCCTCCCGATTAATGTCCATAGAGTGCCACTCTTGTTCACAGTAAGCTAGTAAGTACAACTAACTTTGAGGTTCTACAAATAAAGTTTAAATTAAAAAAAACTTATACTGTATATTGGTTGTGACACTATTTGAAAATCTTGAAATGTGGAACTTCTGGGTCACTAAAGCATTAGATTTGACCTTGTTCCTAAAATACATAATAGAGCTAATACAATGGGATTGTACATACTTGTTCAATTATTTTGACCAAAAAGTTTAATAAATTTTAAATGTTTACCTGGACTTGCTCTGTGTATTTTGACAACTTTTTCTTCCGTTTGTGACATAATTGGCCAGAAGAGCCAACCTGAAGATTGTTTGTATTTCCATTTTAAATGGTTAGTTTTTGAATGGTCATACCTCTAACTCGGAAAGCTGTCTGTTCATATTCAGTGAATATATCAGTGCTGTCTATTTTTGATCTATTTTTTCAGCAAATGTAAGTGGAATATGAGTAAAAAGAAAAAGGATATGATGAAATCTTCTATTATATAAGACATGATTTGCTTGTACCACTTTCAATTAAATAGTTTTTGATGATTCATGAAATTTTTATCATTTCATTTTATCTAAAAACAGGTTGTACTGTCAATTTGATAAAATTATTGTTCTTTCAGATATTTGCCCAAAACCACCCTTGACTTCTGGGACCATTTCAAGAGCATTGCACTACCCGCACTTACAATGTCCCGAACAGTTAACTTCCAGGAGGTAGAACATCGCGTAGGTGAAGTGTGACGGGGTGGTAGGGATGTTGCGCTAGAGGTACGGTGCGTGGCTCTAAGGTGTGGAAAACCCCGTCGTGCGCCTTCCGGCGGGTGGTAAGCGACGTACAAAGTACAGATCCACTGTTCCGTTCCGCAGATACTTCCTTCAGGCCTCAGTTGTCTTGAGGAAATAACTGGAAGAGCAGAAGTTGTCTGTACTAGAAATTAGAGGTAAGGTTTTTGAAAATTGCTTTAAACAGTCATTTATTTGGGTATGATGAATCCTTAATGCCCGGTTAACTAGGGATTCAGTGAACGTTGCATACCGAAGACAGTTTCTGTAGATCTGGGGGGTTTGCAGATAATCCTCACTTCACAAGACTTGTGCATATGTTTTAAATTGTCAGCGTAGTTGTTCTTTAGTGAGCAGAAAGTTGGCATCTGTGATTGCTGGTTATGTGGTGAAAAAGTGTTAGGAGGTGAGCCGCCCTCTCAAAGGTCTGCTGCTTCCTCTCGGCAATGGGTTTGGAAATGGCAGGAATGGGATTTAAGATTAAACTCTGAATTCCATTGTCATTTTACACTGAGCACAAACACACACAGACTGAGAGAAGCAGAATTCCTCATGGAAGTGCCGAGTGGCTCCAGAAAAAACACTTGGGAAGGTGAAGTAAGAAAGGTGACCGTGTGTGTAAATACAGTCCTGGGGGCTCTGCCCGAGGGCGGGGGTTCGCGCAGCGGTTTCTGAAAGGCGGGACCTGGAATCGGTGTCCGGGGGCGAGCTCCTGCCCCTGCGCCGGTGGCCGTGCTCCTTCAGACGCCGACCTGCGCCGG